TATTTATTATTACCAGTGAAACCAATATAACATCTCAACATTCACAAATATACATTTCTGACATTCAAAAACAAAACAAAAACAAATCAGTGACCAATATAGCCACCTTTCTTTGCAAGGACACTCAAAAGCCTGCCATCCATGGATTCTGTCAGTGTTTTGATCTGTTCACCATCAACATTGCGTGCAGCAGCAACCACAGCCTCCCAGACACTGTTCAGAGAGGTGTACTGTTTTCCCTCCTTGTAAATCTCACATTTGATGATGGACCACAGGTTCTCAATGGGGTTCAGATCAGGTGAACAAGGAGGCCATGTCATTAGATTTTCTTCTTTTATACCCTTTCTTGCCAGCCACGCTGTGGAGTACTTGGACGCGTGTGATGGAGCATTGTCCTGCATGAAAATCATGTTTTTCTTGAAGGATGCAGACTTCTTCCTGTACCACTGCTTGAAGAAGGTGTCTTCCAGGAACTGGCAGTAGGACTGGGAGTTGAGCTTGACTCCATCCTCAACCCGAAAAGGCCCCACTAGCTCATCTTTGATGATACCAGCCCAAACCAGTACTCCACCTCCACCTTGCTGGCGTCTGAGTCGGACTGGAGCTCTCTGCCCTTTACCAATCCAGCCACGGGCCCATCCATCTGGCCCATCAAGACTCACTCTCATTTCATCAGTCCATAAAACCTTAGAAAAATCAGTCTTGAGATATTTCTTGGCCCAGTCTTGACGTTTCAGCTTGTGTGTCTTGTTCAGTGGTGGTCGTCTTTCAGCCTTTCTTACCTTGGCCATGTCTCTGAGTATTGCACACCTTGTGCTTTTGGGCACTCCAGTGATGTTGCAGCTCTGAAATATGGCCAAACTGGTGGCAAGTGGCATCGTGGCAGCTGCACGCTTGACTTTTCTCAGTTCATGGGCAGTTATTTTGCGCCTTGGTTTTTCCACACGCTTCTTGCGACCCTGTTGACTATTTTGAATGAAACGCTTGATTGTTCGATGATCACGCTTCAGAAGCTTTGCAATTTTAAGAGTGCTGCATCCCTCTGCAAGATATCTCACTATTTTTGACTTTTCTGAGCCTGTCAAGTCCTTCTTTTGACCCATTTTGCCAAAGGAAAGGAAGTTGCCTAATAATTATGCACACCTGATATAGGGTGTTGATGTCATTAGACCACACCCCTTCTCATTACAGAGATGCACATCACCTAATATGCTTAATTGGTAGTAGGCTTTTGAGCCTATACAGCTTGGAGTAAGACAACATGCATAAAGAGGATGATGTGGTCAAAATACTCATTTGCCTAATAATTCTGCACTCCCTGTAGATGTCAAGCTAATGGAACATCATGCCCTATCCGCAGAATCTCCTGCCGGTACTTTGCAGGTACCACTAACTGGCGATTCGGCGGAGAGGCAACACTCTTCTGGGAAGGTTTAGGGAGCCTATATAACCTGTCCCCCACCCACTCATACCGTTCCCCATCTATTCCTTCCTCTCCAGCATCTGCCCTGTCTTTGTACTTTTGGAGGGTCGGATCTGCCCGTGTTTCCCTCCCAAACTCCTCTGGGGAATCCCAGCTTAAGGGGACCTGCTCTGGGGTACCAGTCGGGGAAGGAGAGCTTACCTGGGTCTCATCAGCAAGTGGGCTGGTTCCGGCAGCACGGGTCTGGGCACGGGTGGTCACTGGTTTCACATCTGCAGGGCCCATCGGAGCATAGGCTGAAACCAAAGGGGCCAAATCGTTTCCCAGAAGAACATCTGCGGGCAAGTCCTTCATCAACCCCACATCCACATGTCTAGCGCCCACTCCCCAATCCAAGTGTACCCGGGCAACAGGTAAGCGAAACACAGCACCCCCTGCTACCCTTACTGCCACAGTGTCCCCAGTGTGTTGATGCTCTGAGACCAAGTTCTTTCGGAGTAGTGTCATCGTGGCTCCTGTGTCCCTCAGCCCATTTACCACTCTGCCATTCAGCTTCACAGTTTGCCGATGTTGCTGGCGATTATCCTGGTGAGCTGCTTGCACTGGGTCTGCCTCATGTAGGATGCCCCAGAATTCCTCCTGCTCTATGCAGTGAGCAGCAGGCTGAGGTGGGCGCTGGTTCCCATTGACTGGTCTCCTCCAGGACTGAGCCTGGTTGGCACTGTTCAGTGTGCACTCAGGACGCTTGTGCCCCAACTGCTTGCACCCAAAGCACCAGATGGGTTGGGAATATTCACGGGCATTAAATCGTGCGGGCTGTACAAAATTGTTAGCTGGCGGTGCGGCTGGGTTACGGTGTACTGGGGGTTGGTAGACTGAAGGAGCGGGTATTACGGCTGGTCGATACTCCAGTCTGGCAGGGGCTTTGGCAGCTGTACCATCCAACTTGCGGGCATCCGTGTATTCGTCTGCCAGACGAGCAGCCTCGGGTAGGGTAGAGGGTTTTCTGTCTCTGACCCACTCCCGGACCCCAGCAGGTAGTCTATCAAAACAGTGCTCCAGCAGGAACATTGTAATACCTCCTCCCCAGTTACCGCTTGGCATCCAGCCATCCAGTGGGCTGCGGTACGATGGACTCTGCAGGCCCATTCCACATAAGAGTCCCCAACCAGCTTGTTGGTTTCTCTAAACCTCCGCCTGTACACCTCTGGGGTCACCGCATACCTGGCTAGGAGCGCCTCTTTCACAGCCCGGTAGCTGGTGATCTCCTCCTCTGGGATGGCCCGAAACGCCTCACTAGCCCGGCCAGATAATTTCCCAGAGAGGATGGTGACCCATTCATCTGCAGGTACCTGATGTAGCGCACACTGCCTCTCAAAGTCTGCTAAAAACCCATCAATCTCTCCCTCAGTTTCCACAAAATTTTTAAATGCAGCAAAAGGTACCTTCTTTCTAGCAACCACATTATTATCGTAAGGTACCTCTGCTGCTGCAGCTCCTCTTTCCCGGAGCGCCTGCTGTGCTGCAACTGCTGCCTGCACATGCACCACGATGTCAGCTGAGGGGTTGGGGCCAAAATGTGCCAGCCTTATTTGCACTGCCCGGTTAAATTGTATTTCCTTGGGTGTTAAATCCAAGGTACTGGGCACGTTGACTCTTTCCATTCCCGTTGCTGCATCCATCTCCAGTAGCAAAGCAATAATCTCCCGTTTCTTTAAATTGCTTGCTGACCTTCCTCGGCGTTCCAATATGTCCTTAAGTGTAGCACGCCTTAATTCCTCATACTGCATGTCTTGTAGCTGACCTCCAGTGCTGTAGGATTCATCCCGTCGCTTGCCACCAATTGTTAAGACACCTCCAGTGTCTTTAAGCCAAACCGCCGTTTTGTAGACCTTCCCCGGCTGCAGTACAGTCTCTGTTCGCTTAATCTGTAACACACGAACCAAATGCAGGGGAAGCGGCAATTTCCCGACCGAGCTCCGTGATCGGCTCCAAACTCCCGAACGGCAATACACGAACTGCTGGTAACCGTCGAACAGCAATATTCCCCAAGCGGCTTTCGTTCTATCCAGCAGTCTCTAAACGTGAAGAAGAAATCCCCCCAATAACGAGACAGAAGCTCCGTATTGAGGGTCAAACAGAATCTGGTTTTACTGTGGGCTACCTGCCCGTATTTATGCAGGTCTCCCACCTGGTGGACACTCCCCTAGGGGACCAAATGGGAGACTTAAACTACAGACAGATAGAGGGACATTTCAGACACACAGTCACATATTTTACCCACAGTGCATTATGATTCCCTCCCCTCTGCCCTGGAGTTAATTACCAAGTAACTCAATTAACTCCAGGACAAGGACAGTCGCCATCTTAGACATAAAATAATAAAAGACATAAAAATACATAACTACATGAAAACTGAACATTTCCCATTCGTATCACATATCCCCAGATAGCCTGGATCTGAGTGCATATTATTAGCGAATAGCGCTCAGATCCCACACACATAGTTCAATCGCCATGGAGTCAAAGTTCTTACAGTCTTTCGGTATACGAATGACTCCATGGGAAGGCTATCTGGGTTAAGTCTTTTCGTATGCTCTCAAACTCCCGAACGGCCGGTGTTCGCATGCTTTCGTGGAGGCAGCCAGGCGTTCCCTTGTTTCAGCGGTGTTCGGCAGAAAAAGTGTCCGTTTTCAGTTCCATAGAATTAGAGCCAAACACCGCTGGGCGTTCGTGTGATTTAAAATGGCCGCTGCCTCGTGGTCGACATACGAACGACGACCACCCTGAATTCGGTTTAATTGAGAAGTGTCTGCGGTTAACCACAATGTTCTAATTGGGATCACTTCGTTAACCAGCAGCACACTCCTCACTTGGGTGGCCGTTCATTCGGCAGGTTTGTTCGGGAAAAAGAGTCATTCGAATGGCTGGGCTATAGAAACCAGCCATTCATACGAACGGGGGACAAACAGACGAACGTGGTAAAAATCCAAGCAGACAGATGGTTCTGTCACAGGGAGGACAATAGGTCCTCCCCCCCTTTTTTTACTTTAGGGCCCCCACCCGCCGCTCAGGGGTGGGGGCCGGTGGGGAGGACAATAGGTCCTCCCCCCTTTTTTTACTTTAGGGCCCCACCCGCCACTCAGGGGTGGGGGCCGGTAGGGAGGACAATAGGTCCTCCTCCCTTTTTTTACTTAAGGGCCCCCACCCATTGGTCATAGGTTTTTTTTTTTTATTTAGTCTCAGGGGATACTTTACTATAAGGTTGCAGGCATCCATAAAATATAATTTTCCACTTGACTTGTTAAATTAATTACTCAAGTTTGTATTTTTGGTCATAAGGATTGCAATGCAGCCTTGAAAAGGAAATTGTCCATTAGACAATAAATGCCAACCAACCCTTAAAAGAATTGTAATATTTAAAGAAAAATAACAACTCCATTTGCAGATTTTCAGGAGAACTAAGGATCACGATGAAATGGTAATAAACTTAAAATTGGGGCTTCCCAGGAGCCTACTGTCAGGATACTAGTTGATCCAGCACGCAGAACTGTATCACACCTAGGACTAGAGCTAACGTCTTACCGGGCCTTAAAATGGCCAGACTTAACGTACCAGAGAATAGTCAGATTACTTGCCGAGGTCGGGGACACAGAATGAGACACAACGATGAGGGAAAGCCAAAAGTCAAGGATACCAGAATACAGGGAAGTCAAACGGAGCCAAAGGCAATAACCGCTCAGGAACACTCTTGGATAATCTACTCAGGGAAACCACGACAGGGCAATGAGGAAAAGGAAAGAGGAGTTTAAATAAGCCTCCTTCAGATCCGATTGGCCGTACCCGGTCTTGGACCCCAGAACGTGCGTGCATGCCAACATCGTCAATACCGTGAGTGAACTGGGGTTACAAATTGTAATGGATCCACAGCAGCCGGCGTCCTTCAACATGCCGCTGGAGTCAGATACACAGACACAGGGCTGCTGAGTAGTACTTCCGTTAATGGCAGAAAGGCATTTACCATGATGGACACCACAAGGTGAGGATGAACATGTGACACCTACCTGGGGCTCTACCCTAGCAACAATTTTGGAGATCTCAAATAAAACTAGGTTGGGAAAAGTTGGATACGTTACGTCTTTGCACATTAACACTATTCTCAAAATGGTGCGTTCATATTGACTAATTCTGATTCGGATTCGGATTTGAGGACACTCATAAAGGCGCTGCTCCCATTTGCCTTTTTATATAGACTAGAGGATAGTGTTAAGTTTTATGGTTTAGAGGCAGGGAGTAGGGACAGGGATGAAAACCAGTCTGAAACCAGACCCTATGTGAAGGGTAGAATGATGGAGCTGTAAGCTGCTACTTGGTGAATTGCTTTCAGCAACACCAAATGATAACTCCCTGTCGCTATTTGTGAAATATTGCTGTCAGCAAACAACCGGTACTCGCTAAAATTTTTGTGAATGTGAACTAGCCAAGAAAAAGTAGCATCACAATTACAAATGAGCTGTGACATAATTGAAATTGTCTTCTAAAACAGTTGTCATCTCATAGATAAGTACTTGACTGTGCAAAAGGAACTAAACATGAAACTACTGTATTTAAACATTTTCTGCGTAGGGTTGATTATCCAATGCTAGGATCAGATAGAATCATTCTGATTGCTAAGCAAATAGAATTAGTATGAAACAAAAGAGCATTCTATTTCAATTAAGTAAACCATTGGACTACATCCAGATGTTCTTGAGCTACCCACAGCCAATGCAAAGTTCTCACGCAATAAATTAAGCATTGTTAAACACCCATACAGTGCACAAGAGAGGTGTGTGAGATTGTATAGAATTGTTCTATAACACTCAAGAATGCACTCTAGTTAATATAAAATATTGAAGTTTAATTAGAACCCAGTAATTGTGAGAACACACTTGCAAAAAAATAAGTTGAGACAATCTTTCGGTTCTTAATTTATGTAAATTGAGAATTGACAACATGTTCAACAACTCTAGAGACTATAGCAGCTTCATGCATGCATAACAAGCTGTTACAAGCTAATAACTTAACAATAAAAAAAAAAATTAAAAATGCAAAATGTATATATATATATAATTTTTTAAAATATTTTTATTTATATATAGGTATATATAGTGATATATACGTATATAGATATATATATTATTTCGTTCTACGTGTATTTTGAAAATATATATATATTAATATCACAATACAGTTAGAACGAAATAACACACATCTATATATTTTTTAATTATCTTTTTAAAATTATTTTTTTAATTTTATTTAACGTATTTACATATTTAATTTTGTTATATTATATATAAATATATATAACAATAATTATATATATATTTAATCAATATCAGCCTATGTGTAATTTGATATTAATATATATATATATATATATATATATATCAATAGTAAAATACACCTAGACAGTGTATGTGTGTGTATGTATATGTGTGTATATATATATATATATATATATATATATATATATCATATATATATGATCTAAGTATATATTCTTTTTTTTTACACTTATTTAACTTTTTTAAATTTTATTTCCAGCCAGCAGGGGGACTACCTGTCATTACAGGCAGCCCCCCTGCTGGCAATGCAGGAGGCAGCTATCCCGGCCATGTGATTGTGAGGTCCTCGCAAGGACCTCACTCTCACATGGCCGGGGGGGCTGCCAGGGGGTCAGACGTGCCGAGGGGGGCTCCCCGGGTAAGTAAAGAAAGACCAGAGGGCGTACTATTACGCCCGGCGGCGTTTACAGCCGCCTAAAATAGGGCGTAATAGTACACCCTCCGGTCTTAAGGGGTTAAAGGACAAAAAGGGCTTTAATTTGATGTGACATATACATATATAAATTCCCATTTATTGTAAAAAAAAAAAAGTAAATTTTTTCCCCCACAGTTTTAGTAATAAAAAGGTGTGCATAATTAGTGCAGCTTAAGAAAAAGAAACTAAATTATTCCTCCTGCTTTACGCTGTACATCATGTATAGGATTTCATTTTATCCTGGTGGTTACAGGTCACAAGGAATTAAATATAGTATCACTGTACTGCAATTTTAGAGTTTATTTGTTTTTTAAATTTTGTAGCCATCACAGAAAACAAAATTGCCTTACAAAAGTACGTATTTATATAAAGTAACAGTGGTGTATTTAGTGGGTGGGGGATGGAGGTGACCGCGAGAAGTAGGATGGGTGACAGGTAGTATATCGCTGCTATAGGCAGAATGACACTCGTGGTTTTCTGTTTGCCTTTGGACGGTGACCCTGCAAGTGTGTTCATCATGGATGGTGGTGCCCTGAATCTTCTGGTACTAGCTGAAACCTGGCTCTCTCCCTCTGACATTGCTAACACTGCCTCCATCTCCTCCCTTACATGCCTGTCCTTTCCTCTCCTTTTTCCTCCTTTGAGTTTTTCTACATCTGCCTATCCAACCACCTCCCCACCTGGATTGCTGTCACCTAAGGATTACCTATCTCTCCATTTCCCTGCTTGGCCACCTTTTTTCTTTCTTCTGACATTCCATCCAATGTGCCCCTCAACCAACATCCTAAACCCAAGCCTCTCAACCAAAACTCAATCAACCTGCACCATTTCTTTTTACTCTCTAATTTCCTCTCTCACCCCTTTAACATTTCTTCTGTCCTTCGCAAGCCATCTACTTCTATAATAATGTTCTTTCTACCACCCTGGAGCAGGCAGCACCAATCAAAGCCTTCTCCAAACGGTAGTCACGAATTCAACCCTACAAACTCAGTATATTTGTTATATAAATATTACATATATTCACCCCTATCCAACACAAGATGCTACTAAGAAGCTTGTTCATTCACCCATCACTTGATAATGGCCTTCCTCACACATAGCCACACTCCAATCTGTTATGAATGTTGCTGCCTCACCCACCTCTCACGCTTCACCACCTCAACACTATGCCAGTTTTAAAAGTGGCTTTCCATATCTTTCGGGGTCTAATTGAAACTACTAACAATAACATTCAAAGCCCTTAACAATTATACCCCCATTATATTACCTCTCTAATCAACACAAATATACCCTTTCCCACTCTCTTCACTCTGCCAGTGTTGTTCTCTTGTCCTCTGTTCGATCCACCTCTGCTAAGTTTTGCTTACAGGACTTCTGGCAAATGCTCTACCCATCCTATTAGACTTTCTCCTAGCCTTAAGTCTTTTAAAAATCTCTAAAAATACACCTCTTTAGGAATGCCTGCCATCTTCACATATAACATATGTTTTTACAGTCCACTCAATTCTTTCTCTTGTCCTTTGCAAACCACTCTCCATTGTCTCCATATACTTATTTTACTATCCTTTTCTCTGACTCATTTTTTAAAGCACTTGTGTTCCTCCTTTCTATTCTCTTATATTGTGAGCTGATTTGAGCAGGGCTCTCTTCACCTCTTATCTCTGTCATCATTAGTTTGTTTGTTATCACTTGTTTTATATTATTATTATTCCACAGCACTGTACAATGGGTAGAGTACCAGACACGTCAATGTAACTAGACGAGCTGGACGCGCAGGAACAGAAGGGTTGAGGACCCTGCTCATATCCCCAATGTATTATTATAAAATGCTGCAGTATATGTTAGCACTATATAAATGATAATTTCCTGTTATGTAGTTGAGTGGACACTGGTGGATTTAGACACTCAGAAATAAATGGCTGATCATAATTATTTTTACTTCAACAGTAGGTGTCACAGGTTTCTGTGCATTTTTGTATTCTTATATCATATTTTTCTTATAACTAGTATATTAAAAAAGTGGAGAGAGTCAAAACAATTAAATGGGATAAATTATCATATCCTTAATTTGTATTGCTTCTGTAAAAATGTACTTGCATTTTTGTATCACACCACTAGAGTATGCTCATTTACCATGTATGCTACAATTTTTAAAATTGTTTTGGTTCTAGAACAATTATATTGCCAACATTAGTATGGCTGCCATAATGCCATCATGTTGATTATCAGCACGTGAAAATGCTGTGTAGTATGTAAATTTTATATGCTGTGGGATTCCTGATTGATTTAGTGCCTGATTTCAGCATATGAAAAAGAGAACATGATTGCTGTCTTCTAGAGAACGTCTATACTGACTACAGAAAAATTATATATACACACACACACATATATATGTGTAAATATGTGACCTTATTTGTTAACTCTGAACTGTAGAGGTTCCTAAGCTAACACTATGGACATGTCAACCACAATGTAAAAATCTATTAGAAGATAAGAGTTGGGCATTTGAATTCTACATTCCACAGGACAGCACTTTCCATGTTATCTATTAAATTGCAATGATATGTTTCCTAGAAAACATGCTCGATACTGAATTTTTAACCATTATTAATATTAATATAAGTCATGAATGGCAGTGCCACATTGCCAAAGTGGAACCAAAAAAGGGTGTTACCTAGCCACTTAGCTGCAGGTACAGCATAGTGAGTAACAGATCATTCAATCTGTGGCAAATGTTTTTTACGGTGGGGTAATGTCAACTGAATAGGTGAGACTTTATTTGGGGTCTGCTTCTTTTTAACACAAAAACAAGGGAAGTATTGAAGGATGCAAAAAATACTTTTTGGGCATTTTATAGGATTGTTATGTTTACCGACTAGGTAATAAATTAATTTGAATTATATTCACTCATCTAAGCTATAAGCGATTCCAAGATTGCATGCCTGGGTTTCATTTGTTTAGTAGTTGGTCCAAACTAACCTGGTATAGTTGGGTGATACTTATAGGGCCCCAGATAAAATGGTAATTAA